GCTGTTAGAGTGCATTTTTTATAGTTGCTTCATTTGTTTATGTGGATTAGTCATTTTTTTATTTTTCTACGGCAATGGTTGTGATTTGAACCTTTGCAATTCTGATTACCTCCAGAGATGGGAAATACAATTCTCCACTCAAAGCCTCAACAAGTGCACTTAGGTTGCAGTGCATATCAGTAAATTTAATTTACATTTGCCAGTTTGGCATTTCAGATTCTGAAGGATGTCATGTATAATTTACTGAATCAGATAGATGAACTTCTTTTGAAATGGCAACAAAGTCTGTGCATTTTGGGGGCAGTGGAAAGAGGTTCACTGTCTCTTATCTTAACCATGGAATGTGACATTGATGATTCTATCTTGGTGCACAAAATGGATCAATCTTCCATTCTTTGACAATGTCATGGGCTCATTTTTGTTAACATGAGTGGCTTTAGGCAGAAATGTATAGCTCTGGAAATGCAGCAATTCTGCAAATTAAACAATGTATTTAACCTTGGATGAGCCATAGAAATACTGTACAATTGGAGAAATTGTCAAACAGGCAGCGGCCGTGTGTAGCAGAAGAATAAAGTGACGATCCCCTGGGAATGTAATGTGGTCCTTGAAATGTGCAGCAATTGAGAGAGTGCACTTTATGCTAGGCTTAGGAATGGTTTGTACTGCTCAGAGCAAAGTGACTTTACTTTCAGGCAATGTGGGATGGAAAGCCTGGTTATGCTTCTTCCCTGCATGGCAACACAGCCGAAAAAAATCGAAACACCTAATTTTGGAGTTCTGTTTGCAATACTTGCATCAAGTAATAGTTTTTGATGTCATTGAAGAATCAGATGTTTCAACAACAACTTCAACAATAACAACTTGCATTTATATAGTTCCCCTCACGCAGGGCAGTGTCCCAGAGTGCTTTCACCCACTGTTGCAACATGTTTCAAGCTCTTGATCATCCAAATGCAGTGCTCCGAAGCTTTCAGTTCACAATGGGGGAAACGGATTCCGATTTGACTCGCATGCTCTGTGTTTACATTACTTCAGGGTAAATGGAGCTGCTGCAGAAAGCATATTCTCCAGGTGATCCGAAGTGTAGGGCTCCAGCATGATCCTCCTGGTTTAGGCGCAAATTACATTATATGTTCTGTTTTGAATGACTGTGGATCATACGGTAATTATGTGCCGGAAAGGGAGAAGCAGTCTTCCTAAGTACGACGCCAGGAATCTAAAATAAAGGTGAAAAATAAGTGATGAGAATTAAGATGATGAAATCTTCCAAAATTGACCTACTCATCTTAACTAATTGTTACTTGCCGCTTCAGTCCCTTGCTACCACTTAAGCATTTTGGATTATGCAGAGTATAACGCTACATTTAAAATAAACCTGGTTCATTTATCTAATTATTTCTATTCTCATAAAAATATTACCTTTGATGAGATTTGTGAGTTGCAACCTCATTCTCTCTTACCGGATGTCTTAAATTACCCTTGATTTATGCTTAGACCAGGATGTTGTTGTTCTTGACCCTCACACTGCACATATTTCCTCTTTCTATTTCTCTCACACATTCTTTTAGCAATTCCTGTGATTGCACCAATTAATTCTCTTTGTTTAAATGATTTGTTTTGATCATGGCTTCCTATTTGCACTTGATAAGTAGAGCATAATTAAAGAGGAAAAAAGTCTTGTCCTTTTAGTCGTTTCTGATTTATCAACTTTTGAACTTACTTATGAGCATCTTAAATTACTTGAGTCTGATTTTTTTTCTGTTTGACAATGGTATCTGGTGGATTGGTTTTCACAGTTAGTTGGCATGGTATAATTTAATCTGGAGAAACTGAAAGCCAGGCTTGACTTGAGAGATGAAAGTAACCTTTTCTGCCAGCTGGTTGGATTCTATACTGAGTGAATTTAAAAAATCTTAACCTAGTCACTTGGACCCCATTCTACAATGAAGCACATTGAGTTTAAGAGAAACTCAAAGCTGTGAAGAGCCTTTAAGTGGATGTTGTGTGATGAAAGGATATTGGTTGTTCCAAATTGATTAGATACCAAGGTCAACCCCTTTTACTTTTAATTCCATCACTAAGAGGGAAAGAGTTACAAATGTTGCATAGAAATACAAAGACATTACATTCCACAGTGAAATCATGTAAAGTGCTTGAGATATCCTCCTGACATGATAAGACTTCAAATCAAATGCAAGGATATATTATTTTATCATTGGGATACGCAAATGTCTCCTGTGTTGGATTAGCAAGGTGAGCCAGGCTTGGAAAGGTGAAGCGAAAGAAATTGCAACATTGGTAATAGTTTGGAGGTTTTATTTTTCCACTACCGCTAGGCACAGTAGTGACATGGATTGAATGTAGATTATTTTAACAGAATTCTGATCCAATTTATCATCTCACATTGAGAAAATATTTCATGTTTGCAGCAGAAAGGTGAAAAAGTAATGAAAAAGAAATTGTTTTAGCATTTACACTGTCAAATTATGTTCAAATTAATTGCATTTTTGTAAGATTTGTGACATGTTTGTATGCAGAACATATATACATACACTTTCGAGTCCGCTTGGCACTTCCTTTCGTTTGAGTCTCTGGATCTGTGGAAAACCAACTTAAGGTTGTGCACTTCTCTCCCGCACAGTGGGGTATAAACACGTCCCTCTGCTGTGGTGTTCTCGATGGGAACTTCATGTATTTAACTGAATTTCCCTTTTTATTGGGTTGCATTGGGGCAAGTGCCAGCTGCCAAATCAGATTCAATTAATACTCCAACAAAGGATGTGGAAAAAAAACCTCAACACCTGCTGCTTTCATGTGGAGGGACGAAAAAGTTCAAATTCATTAATTAGATATTTCATAGGCATTCAGATGGCACGTAACTCACAAACAATGACAAGGAATCATGCCATGTCAGAGGCTTCATGTTTCTCTCTGCCAGGCGCCCAGGGATTACCTTTTCAGAATATAAATACACCGACATTTCTTGTGTGAACGGTGAATGAGAGGAGGACAAATGTGAATAATAGCAACTTTCTGTGTTTGATGCTGATGCAAATAGCGCAGATGCCCTGTTTTACAAACTCCTCTTTTTTTCCTTTTGTGCTGTCTTTCAACAAACTCTTGTTTTCATTCCAGATCCTTAACCAGTGTGTTTACTTCATCCATTTGATATCTGCAGCTGACGAGGATTTTAATTAGAGGCTTTTATCTATCAATCCCCTCCACAGTATTTGAATTCTTCTCCATTGTTGCAACTCAGCCAAGCCTGAATATGCAATTTGTAATACTTGAGTCAACTTTTGTCACAGCTTTCTAGATGATGTGCAAGTTCCCCAGGGGCCTTGGTTTCAATTTCACCTTCTTAATCAGTGCAATTCCATTAAGCTTAAGAAGACTTTTTTAAAAAAATGTTATCTTTTGACTCCTCCGTACTCAAGTTTTGCCAAAGTAAAATGAACTGACTCTTATGCAATGTTTCAGGTTTCTGACAGTAATGTGAATTTAGCTTCAGGGACCATCAAGAAAACAATGTAATACCTGGGATTTGTCCCGCTTTTGTCATTGTTTCTGTGAGCAGGTGTTGGGACTAGGGTGATTTTTGTATACTGCTCTCTCATTTTAAATTGGTTCAACATAAATACACAAAATTGAACTCTTACACTGGATGACAGTTCATTGAAATAGTACGAGAGTTGTGCCTGAGGAAAGAATGAATAGGATAATTTACTCTAAATTACATTTAATTTTAGGTGTTAGCTTGGCTCATTGGCTAGCATTTTCCCCTCTGTGCTGCAAGGAACACTGCATTGTTGGAAGTGCCATCCTTTGTATGTGATGTCAAGCCGAGGTCCCGTCTGTCTGTTCAGTTTGAATAATTAAAATCTTGTAACACTATTCAAGAAGAGAAGGGTGATTTCTCCCAGTGTCCTGGCCAACAATTCCCCAAATAAAATTGGTTAAACCCATTGGTGTACACAAATTGGCTGCTGCATTCACTTACAAATACAATTACTGAATTCTGAAGTAAATCCTGGTTGGCACACCTAGCCCTGTTAGTACTCTCCCAGCCTGTGTTGGAGTGCCAGGCTGGATTTTAGTTCAAATTCCTTTTGGAGGGCTTGACACTACAAATTTCTGACTTAAAAGACAAGTGTGCTGCCACCTGAGTCAGGTTGACACCTGTCTGACAAATACTGTCATGGGATCTCTGTAATGTCCACTTGAACAAGCAATCATGTCAGGCTATGAGATTTGAATCCTGAACCTTCTAACTTTGTTGCACAGTTGCATCTGGGATTTTGTTTTCTCTCCTGGCGATAAGGGAGTTTGAGCAACCCCATCTTGTACACCAATGGTTGAAGGTCAAATAAGGCCAAAAAAAATCAAGTTGAAAATTTACAATCTCACTTAGTGAGCTTGTAGGATGCCCAGTGGAAAGTGATCATAAAAAGACCTGGTGAATTACAACGCTTTCTATTGCAGTTGTGAGTAAAGCAGATTGTTGGAGCAGAGCTGGGGAAGTTTCACCTTTCACATGCTGAATCCAGTCTGCCAGTGCAGATGCTGATACTGGATACCAAAAGGGGAAAGTGTTCCATGCCCTTGTGCTCATAAGCCTTCCGTCATTGAATGCAAAAATTAGAAAACAGAACTAATTTGTGCATTTAAAATATCAAGGTCCACAGCGTCATTCCTGATAATTGGACCGTTTGCTGTACAAAGAGGTTGGGTTGAACTTGCTGTAGGATATGACTCAGTGTTATTTTCATAGATTCTTAATCATTTGGGTGTTGGATCATCTCCACCCGTTCTTTAGTAAGTTTCCATTTCTGATGTAAATTTGACAATTGCAGCTCGTTTATTTAAGCCTGCATGTGGCTGTTTTGCCCATTGTGTTTGCACTCTCCAGCTTATGGTCACCAACCATTGAAAGCATAGCTGAGCTCGTCCTCTCCTGTTTCCGCAGGTTTTGTATTGCCAGCTTGGAACCTTCGCCCTCCGAACATTTCATCCTTCGAATGTCCTTGCTGCCGATGATCTTGTCTTCCACGGTAGGAACAATTCATTTTCAGTTTCATAAACCTCTTTGCTTATAATCATTGCCACATTGGTGTTCATAATATGCGAATATGTATTTAAAAAATCTTTTAAATTTTAAAGTTTTTCACAATTTCTTGAAAAAGACTCATTTAAGAAATGTTTCAGCTCAGCTTGGAAAAAAATGAAGCACCAAATGCAGTTTAGGTGCCCAATCAATTTAGGCAGGGCTGGAGGGGATGTTCAACAGCGTAGCGTCTTAAAGTCACACTTCAACACCTTTTTATCTGCTGATCCGCAACTATTTTGGTGGAGTCTTGTAGATCCATGCGTCTTTAGCATGTGTCTGATAGGGAAAGGAAGAGGGTGTCATCGAACTATTTGCTTAAAACCTAATTCCACAATACCTAAGTTCTTCCTGACTGCAATAGCATTTCTACTGTGCAGAGTGTCACTTGAGCCAAGCACATTTCTTTCAAGAATTACCAAACCCAACAATATTTATTCATCCTGTTAAAAGTTGTGTCATTTTGCAGCAATATGCTGCACATACAGCACTTGGCCAATGTAAATATAGGTTCAACCAGTGCAAATTGAGCTGGAGTGTGGCTTTTGCCTCCAACTTGGGGTTTGTAGGCGCAAATCCCTCTGGACTCACTGCCCTCATGCAAACGCAGTATAATTAACAACACTTGATTGCAAAGTAGTGCCTTTATGCCTCTCGATGCTTTGAGAAAATGGTCCACGAGCAACAGTGATTTACATCTCTGCAGTACAAATACAAGCCCTGTGAATCAATACAATAGCTTTTTTGCCCTACCTGCTTGTCTTGTTTACTTAGATTGCAAATAAAAATTTAAAGTGTGCTTTCGGTCTTGAAAAGCTGCCTCAGGATCCCATGTTTGATATTTTCACAAACACTCAAATTTGTACATTACCTGTCCAACACTTCACTGTTGTCTGACAGCTGGGTCTGCACTTCATGAGCAGTATAAATCCATTCTGTTTTCTTGCATTGATCTCATGCTGGAAGCAATACTGCATCACCTCCACCAGTTTAAAATAGGAATGAAATAGGATAATATGAAGGTGGCATGCTGTTTCCATAGCCATCTGCGATTCGTGGCATTGGGCAAGTCAGTCCAGGACAGATGGCTGCAGCAGTTACATATTTTAGGGGTGAAAGAGTACATGTCTGTCTTATTTCTTGAGCCACTGATGACCAATGTAATGTAAATTTTGCAGCACTTTTCACAGCAATGCTTCTAGGTTTCCCAAATCCACCAAGCCTAAGGTGTTGCATTTTATCTCTGTCTTGAGATTGTGGTCATGAGTACTTGCCGTTTAATGAGTGGCTCTAAACACTGCCAGCTCGGGAGAGTTGTTGAACCCTGTGAGGCAGTTGAACAGCGTGTGGAGCTTCCTTTCTTTTCTACTGATATCAATTCATCTCCTGCACAATGTGCGCCATTTCCAAGCTCGTACACTTGCATCAAAACATGTCAGCACAGGAGCATTTACAAAGGAATGAATGAGTGTGGTGGTGGGGCAAGGGAGGGTTGAGATGGGGCGTGTTAATGGGACAGTTGAGACAAACTATTTTTCAAAATGCTAATTTATAGCATTTCAGAGGGTCCAGAATTAGGCAACTTCTTTAACATTGCCTTCATTTTGAAGCCAATTGTCTGTAAGTTTATTTCAAGAACTGCAAATGCTGGCTTCAAAGTTAAGACTGAATTCAACAAATTCTGCTGGTATCTGAGCTACAAGAAAGAAGGGCAAACTTACAGGTCATCAGGTCACTGCAATATTGCTGATGACCTAGAAATTGACTATTTTTGTTTGCATGGGAAGTTGCTGCCAAAATCACTTCCTGGTTTGTGTTTGCGCAGCAAAGCAAGAAGTTATGTCAACATTATCTCTGAATTTATGAATGGCGGCCAGCGAGCCAGTGCACAGCAAGTCCGCTTGCACACACGATGAATGAATGGGTCCACAGTGTAACACCGATTCAGCGAATCTAAGCTAAAGTGAAACATTATAGCAGGCCTGCACAGTACTTATCAATAATGAAGTAACGTTGATTAAACAGCAAGTCCGGACTGATTTATCATAGTAATTTTCTTTGGTGCTTGAACCATTATTCCTTAAACAGTTCTTTAAATGTATTGTAATTGAAAAGATACCACTAATGATTTCAGTGTTGGACAGCCTGGTGATAATACTGCAGATCTACAGAGCTTTTCAGCTTGTCTAATGCTCATTTGCAATTCACAAAATACAATACAGTTTACATTTATATAGCATGTTTCACGTTGGAAGGACGTCTGTGAAACACTTTGAGGCGTCCTCTGAAAGTGAAAGGTGCTGTATCAGATGTAAGGATGATTATAGTAAATATGACTACATAATAAATATAATATTATGTAATAATACTGTATGTATTACAATAGTAGTATTGTACATTGACAGTGAACAGGCACCGTGTGGATGAAACTGAATGAGGGCCATGTCAGGGTTTACTTCTCTGCGGGCATAATCCCAAAAAGAGACATGATCCTTTCAGACAGAAACAAAAATTTGGCTTCTTTCAGTACTTTGAGGGGATGCCAGATACACTCTTAATGCTACTTCCTGACCTCCTACCACTTGAGTCAGAGGTAATCATGCATTGAGGATAGATTACATTTTTTTAATATGCTTTGTGCATCAATTGCCGTGCATTTAAAATCCTCAAATCTTAGCTCAATGGGTTTATTGTTTATCGGAAACAAGGGAAAAAATCAAGCAAGAAAACAATGCATTAATGCGACTGAATAAAAATTGTGTTTGCTGTGAAAGCAGGAATGAAGAGAGAGAAATATTATATGAATCCTGATTGATTCTTTCTTGACCCCATGTGACATAAAGTATACCAATCAATCTTATTGGCGTTTCGCCCACAAATGTACAGTCAATTCACTTTACAGTATATTCTGTAAAGCGCTTTGAGACGTCTAGAAGACATGAAAAGCGCTACATGAAATGCAAGGATTATTATTATTCTTTAAAGGGCAGGTAGCTTAAGAGGTTATTTTGTTAGGTTGTTAGGTTGATTATATCAGTGGTATTTCAAATGATGGGAAAAAATGTTGGGAGCAGGAGTTCTGTACTCAAGTATTTTGCAAGGATTTCCTGTTTACTAATAATTGTTTTTGATTGAAATACTGCCTTGCCCCCGCTTCGTTGTTCCACTCTGGCCTATCTTCAAATCGCATCTGAAGAACTTCCTCTTTGACCCGCCAACAGTCGCCTCTCCTATCTCCCAGCTCTGTGTCAAGTTCTGCCATTGTTAAGCACTGCGAGAAGCTACCCACAGTAAAGGGTGCTATGTAAATGCAGGTGGTTCTTGTTGAATGTAGCCAATATGAGTACAAATGATTCATTTCTTTTTGCTTAACGATGCGATGGAGTTCGGGCAGGACACCCACAACAACACAATAATGTATTTCTGTTCTGATCTGTAGACTTTTCACTCCCAAATAAAATTGCTCTTGGATTTGCAGTGATAAAACAATTTTGGAATCAAATTAAATGTTCATATCATTGTGGTGGAATCCTAGTAGTGTAGTAAAATCCGTTTTACTGTAAAATACCCATGACCCATGCCAGCGGGTGCTATGCTGCCCTACCATGCCCCACCCCCTCAGTCGACTCTGTCTCGGCATTTTGGCTGCTGCCACCAACCCAAGCTGCTTCTCCCAAAAGTGCTCCCACTCCTGTCCTCTATCCTCCACTACTCCCGCTCAATCCTTCTCTCTCACCGCTCTCTCCGCCTCCTTTCCCTGCTCTTCCATCCGATAGCCTCCCTTTGCTCCAACCTGTGAATCCTCCGTTGCAACCTCCGTGGCAGATGCCACTGGCTGTCCAACCCTGACTGCCCAAGCCCCCACCTCTGGCACAAGGCGCATTGGTCCCTGGCCTAGGGGCAACCTCTCCTCCCTTATCACACATCCCCACCCTCCCTGTCAATCCTCCCCCTCCCCCCCTTGTCTCGCCCCTTCCTCTACCACCAGCTGTCCCCTCCATATCAGCTTACAAAACGTCCGCTCCCTCTCCAGCAAAACGCTCACCATCCAAGACCCCATTGTCGACCAAAACCCAGACATCCTCACCGAAACCTGGATGACCAGGTGACACCTTCCCCCTGACAGAGGCTACACCACCCGAATACATCTTCCACCATACCCCACAACCTAACCACCATGGTGGCGGGGTGGCTCTCATCTCCCAGTCACTCGTACTATTCCTTTACTCCTCCGGAATCTTCCAGTCCTTTGAGCACCTTACCCTCTACCAATCCCTCCAACTTTTCCCTCAAAATCCTCCTTGTCTATCGTTCCCCCAAATCCTCACCCGCCTTCCTCTCAGATATCTCCACCCTCCTATCTTCCCTCTCCCTCTGATCCGAACACCTCCGCATCCTAGGCGACTTCAACCTTCAGGTCACCTTCTCCTGCTCTATCTCTGCTGACTTCTCTCTTCTCTCCTCTCCAATCCTCTCACTCCATCTCCCATATTCATGGACACCTGCTGGACCTGGTGATTACCCAGGGCCTCAGCATCTCGGACCTCACCATCACCGACAAAGCTATCTCGGACCATTACAACAACAACAACAACAACAAGATTCCATTTATAAAGCGCCTTTCACCTCAGGAGGACGTCCCAAGGCGCTGCACAGTTGGGTCATGACCCGAGCAGGGGGGAAATGGTCAGGGTGAGGGGAGGGAAGGGAGGGAGCGAGGAGGGGGGAAATGGTCAGGGTGAGGGGAGGGAGGGAGCGAGAAGAGGGAAGAGAGTCGAGAGGGGAGCTGAAGGCTCGGTCAAAGAGAAAGGTTTTGAGACTGGCCTTGAAGGAGGAGAGGGAGGAAGCAAGGCGAAGGCACTGGGGGATGGAGTTCCAGAGCCTCGGGGCTGAGAGGCTGAAGGCCCGACCACCGATGGTAGGGCAATTGGGGCGGGGGACGTGGAG